TTTATTTACTCCATTTTTAAATTTTGAACTATTTAAGAAATTTAATCACTAAATTAAATAACATTTGGCGAAATTCAGATTATTTTTATAATTCTAATTTTTTATAATTTTTTGCTTTATTAAAGTCGAAATTATTTGTAAATTATGTTTTTTCAACGATTAAAATACCAAAAGCTATTATTAAATTTCGATATAATTGGAAATGGTTTCGTAATTTATTTTAATAATTATTTTTAAAATAATTATTATAATAGCAATCTTACGAGAAATATCACCAATGAACACTCTTTTCATATAGTCTTCTATATAGAAGAGAATGAAACATTCGCAATTATCACAGCCATTATCACCTCTTTTTCATACAGGTATCTCTTAAGGATATCTCAAGCAAAATCTTTCAGGGCAAAGGCGATGATTTGAAAATTATATTATTAAAAATTATAATTATAAACTGCACACCTAAATTTATTTTCAGGCTGTAATACGTATATTTTATTAAAGATTTAGATATATTTCACTAAATTTACTTGCTCCCAAAATTTCCACTGCAATCTGGGATCATTTGATTTGCTCGCTATTTTTCTTGACCATCGTCCGATGAATGCCATTATTTCAAAAGACCAATTTATAATTAAGGTGAAGTCGCATTGCTTATTTGTCCAATGTTTATTTCTGCATTGATGATAACTGCTTTACTCTCTGCACCATTTTCTAAGAACATATAAACCGCGAACAAACGTTTATAAGGAGCTATTAGGACCTTGCTAAAACTTTCGACTCTGCGCCGTGTAATTGCTGATTATTGTTATCAATTTGCGAATAACAGCCAAAATTTCATATAAGCATCTTATGTTACTTGCTTTTGATTGATTTTCCCATTGCTAAGTGACTTCCTTGGAAAAATCTTACCGTTATAGCAACCAGTATTGGCAAGGAGAAAAGATGAAGTCTAAGTTCTTCCTTACTTTTAGCTTACCGTATCTGGTAAGAAGACTAATTTATTGCCTTATCCAACTTTTTAAATATCTTTTTTAATTCCTTTAAATTTTCTTAAATTAAAGTTTAGATTTAAATAAAAACCATAAAATACCAAAAAACCCACATAAAATGTAATTTATATATTTCGAAGATTTTTCATTTAATAAATTTCTTATAAATTTCTTATTTTTATAAAAAAATATATATTTATATACGATTTTTATTTAACACAATTTTGCAATCTTTACATTTAATGTATTTTTAAATTATTTACGGAAATAAAAAATAAATTATGAAAAATTCAATGAAATTCGTTAATAGTTAATATTCTAAACATTAAAAAGCACAAAATGATTTTCGGCATTAACAAATCGAACAATTCCGAAAAACGATTTATAAAGGAAAAATTTTGCAAATTAGTGCGAAACATCATTTTGTAGCTAACCGTGGCGAAGAGAACTGATCGCCAACTAAATATGCCTTCAGGAAACGGAAATCCCGTTTATTTATTGAATGTTCTTAGGCAATTTAGAATATTTCGGTAAAAATTTGGATCGCTTTTGCTTGCTTATTGTTAATTAATTTCGAAGCGATTGCTGTGGATTTACAAATGAGCGTTTTGAAATGGGAATTTTGTTTTAATATTTAATAATAATAAAAATAATAAAAATTTGTGTGGGATTGCGAAAGGTGAAAGCGAATTTCCTATCGGAATTTTATTGGTGTTTTGTCAGTTTTTCCAAATATGGCCAGCAATGCGACCGAAATCTTTTTGTATGATTTTTCTGTTTTGATTTTTTGCGTTTGGATTTTTTTGCCGTTTATTTCAAGCGAATATTTCAAATCTCTATCAAAACAATTTCATTCAATAAAATTCATCGAAAAGTAAGAAAGAATTTCCATACTGATAACTAATCTTTTATCAAATGGTTTTTCAAATTGTCAACAAAAAACTAATAAAAATCAAAAAAGCAAAAAAATGGTGTTTAAAAATATTTTGGACTATGGATAGAAAAACTTTTTTTTTCAGTTCCACCATTTTTTTCGTTCTTTTCGTTCATTCTTGGACGATTGCAAGGGTTGCAAAAATATTCGCTACGAGAACTGCAATTGTAACATTCATTTTGCACACAACAACCCTTTATAATCCACGAAAAATAGTTCTAAAATTCAAATTCAAATTTCAGTTATAACTGTGGTACTAGCAAAAAATATTTTATTTTTAATTAATAATGATTTTGCCTAAAATAAAGGAGTGATTTAAAACTGGAAAAAATTGAAGATTTAAAGAGCATTGGATATAAATTCGGAGATTAAAAAATTGAAGCCGAGCATTCTTTATACTTTATTGCAGCGTTATGCAAACCTGATGGCCTATATAACCACAAACCGAATATCGTTCTTGTTTAATCCCTTCTTCTTTTATAGGTGAATCAACAATTGGTAGAAGTTGAGCAAACATCATCAACGGAAGATTGTTCATATTTCTGTTTATAAATGAACCCACAAATAATGTTGTAAACGGTAAAGGTTTGTATTGGTACCTTTAAAGTGAATTATCCTCAATGCATCAAGATTAATTGAAATTATTACCCCAAATTACTAAGTTTCTTTAAGAAATTTTTTTCTATGAAATATCGAAAAATTTAAAAAAAAATTGAAAAATAAGCAAAAAAAATTTCGAAAAGATTCGTAGAATGAAAATTTTAAAAAATTCTTTTATCAACATCGCGAAAAAAATCAGAAAATCAGATAATTTAAAAACATTTTTTCAAGATTCACTTTTTTTTGGGGGGTGGGGGGGATAGGGGGAGGGTGGAATTATATAAAGCAATTTTGTTTATTGAAAGTATAATAGGAAGTGGAAAGAGCAAAGTGGAAGCTGTTGGTTCTTCCTCGACATTTGTCCCCAAAGTTTTTCTGCACTCCTGCTGTCAGAGGAGATTTGTTTTGAGGAGAACTGTGGACCTTTAAAATTTCGCGCAAATACCTTATTAAACTATGTGGACCCTATAAAACTCATCAAAAAAATTATAATATTAAATTATAATATAATTATAAATTCTAACTAAAATTATAAATTATAATATATAAAATTATTATATAATAATATATAATATAATTATAATAATTCTAAAATTATAATAATTTTCACAATAATTATTTTCACAACATGATAATGGTGATAATTTATTTACGGTTACAGCGAAAGTAGTAGCAGTAATAGTTTGATGGATAAAGAACAGATATAAATTCGTAATAATTATTTTCTAGTAAAATGATAACAATGAATGATAATGTATTGACGATTATAGCGCTTATGAAAATAGTAATAGTGATAGTCTGATGAATAAGGGAATCAGATATAGATTCGACCTTAGTACCTCGACTTTAATTAATTCTCAGTCCATCAGACTGCCAAAAGATTCTTGAAGTGTGCTCTCTAATATTTGAACAAAAGAATAGTCATTTGTCAAATGAGAGGGAAAAAAATTTAAATGAGTGCATTTTGAGCTTTTTGAAGATATGAATGAAAAAAAATATATCTGATCAGAGGAATTTCCATGGTTCTTTCTTAATGTCCATGGCGTAGGTGAGTGAGGAAATCAAAGTCATATGAGATATTTTCAGAAGCGCTTTGTTTTGCGTTATTCAAATCTATGAACTTAGCTACCTTAACTGCCTTAACTAACTTATTCACTGGCAATCATATACGACACAAAAACCTTTTTAAAATCTTTTTCTTAATTTGAATTCATCGCGAATTCACCGTTCTATAGCTATTGCTCACTTGCAAATGTGCAATTTTTAAAAAATGATAAATGATAAACATTTCAGTTCGCTGCTCGATTTCCTCTCTAATATCAGTAAGGAAATTTTGCTTTCCGATTTGGATTTTAATTTATGTTACATAAATTTATAGAAATTATAGATGGTTTTAAATCTTCTTTAAGAGAAATTTCTTGAATTTTTCTTGGATTATTTGATTTTTTGGAAATTTATATTAAAATTCCATCCGGTGTATGAAAAACATTCAAGGATCTGAAATGATTCTAATTGAATTTGAATCTGAATTAAATGATTCTATTTTTATTTCCATTTTCAAAATATGATTAAAAAATTATTCGAATTTAATATAAATAAAAATTTAAAAAATTTGCTTTTTTATTAAACTCTCGTTAATAAATTTTTAAATTCTGAATTTAAAAATTTAATAAAAGTCTTAATGAAAATACATAGTGAAAACAATGAAATTCATTTTTAATTTTTTTTTTAAATTTTTAATAAAATTACTTCTTTGCTTATCAGCTTATCAGTAATTAATCAGTAATCCTAAAAATAAATTAAAATTCTCGGACTATTAATTAAATCTATATTTGATAGCCATTTCTTTTGGCTATTTTTACAACGATTTCAAAATTCCATCGTTAATACGGGTTGTTTACTTTATTATATTTGTCCCACAAGTTATTGAATATGTGCATTGAATATTCTTTCATACTTTCATTCGCTCGTTATTTTTAAAAGGCTTTTTATTTATATCGAAATCTTCTTATCACTGTGATATGATAAGTGCTGTTTACTTTATTGCACCTCGCCGAGATCGATTCCTATTATCGTTTAGCTGCCATTATTTCTTCACAGAATCCGCTAAAACATTCGCAAACATTTGTATAATTTATTTTCTTTGAATAATATATTGGGAAATTTTATAGAAAGTGGAATTATTAACGGAATTAACGGAATTTATTGATTTATTCAAGAAATGTTATGAAATGAAAAATTCATAAAATTTTTTCATATAGCGAAAATTTTACAATAAATTTTATAATTTTCAATTTTCATTTAGTACAATCAATGTTCACAGTTTTGGCAGAAATTTTGCTGACCACTAATCACCACTAATCAAACGAATATTTATAGTATTCAACTATTAATCATAAAAATTCGCGCATGCATGATTCCTTCGTCGTACAATTTTCGCGTTTCGAATATTCGTACGAATACTAAAATTTTTAAAATTAACGCTTTAATTCGATTCCCTTTGACAAACGATACAAAAAACATAGAATATCCCACGAATGAAATTTTTGCCTCTCTTCGATCTCAATTCGACTGAGAATCACTTCAAGACATGAATAGAGCGAAGCAAACATCTGAAAAACAGTAAAATTTTGGAGTTTCAAATAAAAATTCTCAAAAATTATATAATTTTCGTATTAAATAATATATATTAAATCATATAAAAAATATTTTTAATCGAAATTATTTTAATATTTTTAATGTCGAAAATGATGGATTATCATAAATTATCATAATGTTTAATGATTATCGAAGGGGAAACAAAATGGCTCAGCGGATTGTTGCACAATTCGGAGCGCCGATGCTGAGATTCTACTCTCTGGAGGAGTGAATTTGTTCAAAAAACCGGGTGACGCTGGCGATCACCCATATTTCTATCGCTAAGAGACCTCCTGGCATATTCACCTAGCGCGACAAGCCAGCAGAGCGAGTCTTATCAGCAATGGTGAGGGCTTTTAAAAAAAGAAAAAAATGAATTGCCGAATAAAGAAGAGTCGATGTCGGTGATTTATTCGTGACTACACAGCTCATTAACATAAGCACAACCATGAGATCATCATGCAAATAGTAAACGAAGATTTCTCGAATGGCACAAATTTCCGCATCGTATTTTAATAGAAATGTTTCATCACTGCGATTGAAAGATTCTCTTATAATCTCAAAAAAATATAACTGAATTTTTAATTTTTTAAGAATAAATTTTTAAGAATTATAATCATTTGAAACTGAATAATTGAAAAAAAATTAACGAAATAAAAAAAATATAGCTTCTGATGTTTGACGTTTCGACTTTACATGAAAGAAAAAAAGTTTTGTCTTTGAACAAACTTGAGAGGCTCGAATCAATCGCTCCCAACCGTAAATTTGATAATATATGTGATATTATTTACCATCGCCAAAATAATCGACGATTCGATGCATGCATTGACATTTGAGTGCTCACAGTTGTCGAGTAAGGGAATGCTATAGAGAAAATTTCTATAATATTCTTTGGCATGGTTTAAATTGCTTATTAAAATATCGCTCGGAAACGTATGATCATATGTTCTTACAATCTCGTCAATGAAGGCTTCAATTTTTAAAGTTGATAATGGTGCTTCTGAATGACTAAAAACACATTTGTGGTGAAAATTTATATTCATATATATATTTATATATTATAAATATATTATTAATTATAGTATGTCAAAATATTAGTAAAATGATTCTAATTGACTATTTTTATTCAACTGATAGTTATGATAAGACTCCATCCAATAGTCATATAGGAAACAAATGGATCACTAGCGTAAATGTGATAATCCAGAAATTATGGGCAATGCGAAAAAAGCCCAGTAAAACTACAATATTAGTTTCAAGACGAATTAGACACGATACATGAATTCTGGAAGACGAATTGCCTCTCTTTTCATTCCAACGAGAAGACATTTTGCAAAGCGACAATATTTGCATCTATTTCGCGTTTGAACATTGATAACGCAATTTTTGTTTTTCACGCACGTATAATTAGCTTTGATTATAACGCTCCGTTGAAAAAATGCCTAAATGCGAAGTAATAATTCTAAATTCTAATATAAATGAATATGCAAAAATTCAAAATTTTTCAAAGTTTCAAGAAAAATTTCAAAGTTGAATTTCGATATTTTTTTTTAAAAATTTTCACAAAAATGACTTTGTTTAATGCTAAAATTTAATTCAATAAATATAATTTTAAAAAAAATGTATTTATGGGGAAATTCTCCAAAAATTAGGCAAAATTTAATGTGTAAAATATGAAAACAAACTCGACAAGTTATACAATTCATTGCTCCATAATGGAAATTCGCTGGCCTATCGCCACAAACAGCACATAAACGTGCTTGTTTACCGCAAGTGCGACATCGTTTTTGGAGAGAAAATTGAGTCTTCGAATTCTCCATGATTAAGCCACTAATCAGCAGTGAGTTGAATCTTTTGGTAGCGCTTTCTCAATTAAATTCAATTAAGTTATGGAAAACGTAACGCATGAAAAGCATTTCCATAGTCAAATAAAAAAAAGAAAATAGAGAAAAGTGGAATTTTGATTGAAATGAAAAATTTTTTAAATTTTAAAAAATACTACAAAATACTACAAAAAACAAAAGAAAAGCGAACTACAAAAAAAAAGATTTATGATATTTAATTTTGAGAAAAAAAGGGAAAATCATGGAAAATTATCAGTTTCAGCATGAAAAATTATACATTCCCTATTATAATATAGAAAGGCTTAGAAGAATCTGAACATAGTGGGTAACCGAAACCGACAGCAAGCAGGATAAGCCATTAGAAAAGAAGAGGCACTCTATATAGTAAAAACCAGTGGGAACGATATAGCGCTTTCCGCATTGGCAGTAAGTGGATTGCGATCAGCATTCCCATTGCTTCATTCCACTGGTTGATAGCAGTTGAAAAATTCTTATAAGGGAGTCATTGAGGATAGAATATAGTTTTTATTCACAGATTCACTCATAAATAAAAAACACCCCGCCATGCTGATTAAATACTTTGGTGTTATTTTAGTGCTAACTTGTCTTAACAGCAATATTTGAATTCTAATCATTTCTTTCCGATACGTTATATTGCTCCTCGCAAAAATAATTCTAAATGAATAAACTTTATTAATAGCGTGGAATTAAGAAAGAAGGATGGTTTCACAAACCGACCTACACTTTTATCACGAGATAAGTATTTAATGAAAGTCCCATAACATAAAAAATTGTGATTATTAATATATAATTGAGATGAAATATAAAAAATATAAAAAAAACAAAAAGAAATAATAAAATTAATAATAAATGAATAAAATAAAATAAAATAGAAATATAAAAAAAAAAATCTGCTAACGCTTTGTTTCTATAAATTTCTTAAATAATTATTTCAAATAATATTTTTTTGTTCATAAAATTTTTTAAAAATGTCGATCAAACGCGATTAAAATACAAAAATTCAGATTTAAAATTCAGTATTAAGCAGAAAATTTAAAAATTTAAATTTATATTTATTCTTTTTTTCCTGAAATTTTTGAAAAATAATTTTGAGCATAAATAGCAGTTTTTAAATTAATGAAAATATTTATTCATTTTTTTTCTTCTTTGCTAGAAAATTTCACATAAAATATTCGAAGAATTTTTAATCTTAAATTTTTCCATTCATATGAATGTTATTTATGGATTAAAAATGAATTTCGTTCGTATAAGCAAAAATTTTGAATCGTTTTTCTTTTAAACTGAAGTTAAATAATTTTTAATATTTATTAAAAAATTTTTTTAAATAAAAAATTCATTAATTTGTTGCATTTATCACAAATTCACACGCATTTATCAAATTATCATATTTATTAAAATATTTTATAATAATATTTAAAAATATTAAATATCAAAATTGACGAGCTAAAATTACGAATTAACCTTCCATGAATAGCGTTAAACTAAATGCATGAATGATGATGATATTTCGGTGTATAAAATATGTATTACAATATTTTTTTTTATTAAAGCTCTATTTTTTTGTTTTATGCGATAAATCGCGAAAACGTTTTCTCTATAACCTATCAAATTCAGCCAAAATTTTCCCCCATTAAACACCTTCCTTATGCCAAATTTGTACACAAGACATCAGGTAAAAAATAGTGATTTCTCGAATAACTACAGTCCTTCAATGTCACTTTTTGTTAATCACATTTTTTGCATGATATTTTCCACTTCGAGAAATGAAGGCGGTCATGAAGCTCCTAATGTCACGCCAACACGACACTGTGAAAGCCTTTCATAGAAGCGAGAAATAAATATAGCCATTTATTCTGGCTATCTTCTAATTCTCTTTTAATTTTTCTCGAAAGTCCTCACCTTTACTGGCTGTACTCGCTTCGCTGGCTTGTCGCACTGGACAAATATGCCAGGGAGTCCCTTAGAAAAAGAAGTGCATGTGAATCGCCAGTAAGGATTTTTGGATAAATACTCCTGCGATGAGTAGAACTTTAACATCGCTGGTCCGAATTAAGCAACAATGCATTGAACCATTCTATTCTCCATTTATGTGTATGTAATTTCGAGAAAGAATCTTCAAAAAATTATTGTTGTTATAATACATTAATATTAATATAAATTAATTATCATTTGTCCAAATATATTCATTCATTTATTTAATTTTGAAATTAATATAAACGAAATCACTAAATGCCATCTTAAATTATGGCAGAAGCGCAGACCATAAAAAAAATCGAAGAAAATAATAAAAATGCAATACAAAATGCAATAAAACTGCATTTGAAAATAAGCAAAAATTTGAATTATTCATTTGTTACTCTAAAAAAAAGAAAATAAAACGTACAAAAGCAATAAAAAAGTATAAATGAACTTTTCAAATATACTGACAAAATGATAAAATTTTAGATGAAACATATGTAAAATTTTAAAAAAATTTTTTCAATTTAATTATATATATGAGAAAATTTAAATTATTCATTTTTTACTCCAAAAGCATATAAAACATTAGAGTTTCACCTAAAAGTATTTATAATTTAATAATTCAAAAATTAAATCAAAATTTTATTTTTTGTAAGTTTACTAATGTCGAAAAATAATGAATGCTCGCTTTAATATTACTTCATTTGAAATATGAAAGAGGTAATAAAAAACGTCCCAAACTGATATTTCGAGCTTCGCCTCGATCTCAAGTCGATTCAGAATTAGTAAAAGACATGAAGTTACTCTATCAAAGATCTGAAACGAAAACGAAAATTTTATATATTATATATTTTTTATATATTTTTTTATATATTTAATCTGATGAAATTCTGAAAAAATAATAAAAATAAATGCAATAATATGAATTACCGAATAAACAATAGGCGACGTTGGAGTGATTCCGATCATACAGCTTACGAGCATAAGTACAGCGACAAGATCTTTTCGGATTTTACCACCGAAAAACGTCTGGATTTTCGTAATTTCCGCTTGATAATCTTTTAGAAATACTTCACCAAAATCCGTTTTAGCCAAAGATTCTTTTATAACCTTTAAATTTTAAATTTTACATCAAATTTTTAAAATTCATAAATTATACGAAATTTGAACTTTGTATTGAAAATTAAATTTGAAAATTCGGAAAAATAAAAAAACAAAAATAAAAAATAATGAAAAACAGAAAAATATTTCTTGCATTTCTCTTTGTTCGATTTCACGACCTACAGCAATATATATTATTCAATGGCAAATGAACCAAATAAATACTTTGTAGATATTTATATAGAATTAAAATCGGTAAGAAATAATAGAAACTGTTATCTATTAACGACACCGCATTTGCGGTGCTAACTTCCTAAGGTCCACTAGGTCTCAGCTTTTGCTAAAAATATTACTAAGAATGATGTTAATCGCTCGCTTGTACACTTCATTAATAAGGGATACTTACTAGGGCCAAAAGAAATGAGGAATTCGTAGAAGCATTTACGTATTCTATGCTATTGAATATGGCAGCATTATACAAGAATAGCCTGAAATGTTCTCTGGCATGGTATAAATCACCAACCATGCCAGTGTTTGAAAATGCATAATCAAACGATCTCACGACATGTTCGATAAAATTTTCAATATCCGAAATTGATAATTCAATCGCACTAAAAATATACGTCTTTAAGAACGTGGTCTTATATAATGCTGAAATTTTTTTTTCACGCATTTCTATTTCTGTAGTTCTAAACGAGTCGTCCTTCGCAAGACTCGGACCAGAGGTGCAAATACGCTCAACTGTCCAACAACACTAAATATAAAGCATTAATTTCGATTTTAAAACTTCACACCATCTTTTTCTTATTTGTCCCTTTTTCCATTCGTTTCGCGAAAGGCAAATTGCTTCCATTTTCATACCAACACGAAGGCATTTTTGAAAGCGACAATAATTACATCTATTTTTCGTTTCAGCAGTAATATCACAATTTTTATCCTTCGCGCATACATAATTAGGATTGATTATTGAGATCTGTTGAGATGGAGCCTAAAATTTAAATTAGTTCCAATCATTCATCACAATAATTTTATAAAAAAATTCTGAATTTTTTATCAAAAACGATAAGCCTCGGTGTTCCTCATTTCGAAGTGCCAACTATTTTAGCTGCTATTTATTGCAGTAGTTAGTCTATCTTGCAAAAATCCGAGTGGTGCTAGACGATAATTGCACTTCTGAGCTAAGTAACTCCGGCAGAATCAGTCTTATCCGATAAGCCAACACAGTAAGTTCAGTGAGAAATGGTGAATGCCCTTAGAAAAAAAGTTCAACAAGTAAAACTGTACTATGGCTTATATAAGTAAAAATATTAAAAGGAACTTGGTACTTCATTCTACCATAATTTAAAATTGCTCGCCAATCACAGCAAACATTACACCAATTTGAATTCATTTGCTGATAAAAAGGATAAGGGAAAAAGCTTCGTCTTGGATTTTCCATAATTGAACTATTCCACAGTATCGCAGCAGTAATAAATTGGATCTTTTAGTATCCTTTGCTAAATTCGATTTGTATCTTTTGCCAAAATTACCATTAACAGATGGCAAAGTATGAAAAGTATCATTAAATATCGTAAAATGAGATGAGGTAATAGAGAAAGAAACGAAGTACCATTTATGTGAAATACAAAATAAAGCAAATTAGCACTGCAAAAATTAATGGGCCAACTCTGAGAAATAAACCTAAATTCGCAATTTTGATGTGTTTAACTGATAAATTATTCTCTTATTAATGCAAATCTTCAAGCCAAAATAATAATAAGAGGAAGATAAGGTAAAAAAAGTAGAGGGAAGAGGAGATTTAATTAATGAAAGCGGCAAAAGGGGGAAAAAGTGCAGGTGAATCTCTCAACTATATAACAGAAAAAGACGATAAATATTACAAATCCCCGTTAGGGAATATTAGGGCATATATAATCTTAGGGCATATATAATCGTAAACTTCAAACTCGAGTAAGCAAATTTCACTTCTGCCTAATACTATTGCAGGTTTCGCTCAACAATACTTTTCCCATCTGATGCCATTCCTGAAAATAAAAGTGAAGTCATTCTTTGCCACCAGGCTAGTGATATTGATATCGCACGCCTCAGAATGCACGGATGTCGTATAAAATTTGTTTGATCCGTTCGCCATGGAAATAAATAAAATGATGGATTTCAAAATTTACATGATGTTTTTGAACATTTAACTAGTAAAATTATTAGCAAAAAATCATATATTTTATTCTAGTTCACTTTTCCTAGATAGATTGAAGGCCAAACAATTTTCCAGCAAATCTACCTAATCCGATAATACAGCGAAGTGACCCATACCAGAAAATAAAGAAAACCAAGTATTATAATTGTCCAAGCCTAAGCCTTATAACAAAGAACTTGGCTTAATAAACTTCTTCTTCTAGTGCTAGCACAACCACTGACACTAACGACTTAAGGTAGTCAAGCCTTTTTCAATTCTCCCGATCTATTGCCATTCCCGATGAAAATAACTGAAGCCATTTTTCTTGTCATTTGATTAAGGATATAATGTTTGTAGGGAAACAAAGCAGACTTAAGATTTGAACTTGGTTCATTCGCCATAAAATAAATAACCGATAGTTACTTTAATTTTAGATAAGGTTAAGCGTATTTCGAAAATCTGTTCAAGCTAGACGATTAGTGGAGATCCAGCATTTTTTATTTTGCGAATCGTTTGGAGAATTTGGTGCCACCAATTCAGTAAAAATCCACGACGCAGTACCACAATGATCGTCGTCGTTCACACATGAAATAATTGCCTATAAACATATGTATGCAAAACAAAATATCTTTACCTACTTACACTTTTAATTTGTCCGATTGATCTCGTAAAATGCTGACTCTGCCAAGCCGACTTGGTTTTACTTTTGCTACAAATCAACACAGTTAAGCCTTGGCTTTTAAATTAAAATAATATTTGCAGTCAACAATTTACAACAGAGTAATTAATTATTTACTCGTCGCAACATATATCGTAAATACCGCTTCATTTTCTACACCCTTTCTTTGCCCAAAAATTATCCTATCAGCTTTCCCATATTTACATGGTAACTAAAATTGGCTTTATTGAGAACAGACAGAAAATGCCGATTCTAATTTTAAAAAAAGGCTAGCAAATCGCAAATCTGGATTTTTGCCAACTGTTGGCCTTGTCAGCAATATCGAAAAAAGACGATGGTACTGGGAGTTCGGGTCTCGTTGGAGACCACGATAGGAAAATCGGTTTTTTCAACTAATATACTGCAATGTAATTTGATGATATTCAGTAGTCTGAAAAATTTTTCACGTTTTTCACAGCATTTTAGACTATAGGTGCGATGGTATGCCAAACTGGTGAAATGCACCAGATGGATCTTTTTCAGCTTATTTATATTATTTAAAATCGGTCTTTTACTATAGCTCTCCCAATTCTAATCGTTGCTAATAACGTTGCCTTTTCCTCAAATTATTTATTATTTATTTATTTCTCGATTATAAAAATTTATTTAAAATGAATAAAAAATCATTATGCAATTTGGAATAAATTGCTTGAATTGCTTGAAAAGTAGAAATTGACGACAAAAATTTCATTCACCTCAGCAAATCGAAGAAGAAGCAAAGCGTTATTTATTAAGCGTCTTTGGACCTCGCTGCTATACCAAATGTAGAAACTGGAGTGATAATATCACCCCCAAGGCATATTCGAGCCTATATCGCATTTTTAGGAGGGTTTTGGTGCCAGACGAAGTTCTATGTAACTACTTTTGTCAACATCATTCGTGCATAAAATAGTGGTATGTACACTATTATTTTATTTCAGGCGTAAGCGATTGCCGTTCTTTCCATTGAGTCGGGAACAAATATCCATGCGATGTTAGGAGATAAGGTGTTCAACAATCGTCTTCTGTTTTTCCTATGTCTCAAGGCAAAAGCATTCTAACGTTTCACGTAGCCACAGCCAATATCTCGTCACGTGCAGACAGAAGCCACTGGGGTCTGCTCTTTTTTCCTTAGCTTAGTGTCGTTTATTTCAGCCATCATTAAATTTCTAGGGGATTCAATTCGCGAGAACCACCGGATTACAATTTATGTAAGACGTCATTTGGCGTTGATATAATTCCTTAAACAATGAACTATACTGGATAGAGAAATATCCCTAATGGTTCACGTGGATCGCTTGTTTATGCCAAGAGAAATATAAAAATAAGGGGAAAATTATTACAAATAATAGAATTAAAAATGAAATAATATTCCCTACTAAAAAAACAATAAAATTATTGAAAAATTGCTAAAAGAACCGCTAAAATAATTTGACCGCTCAGGTTCCATATTCATTAAATATCCATTCAATAATAGATTTTGTTCCAGGAAATAGGAATCGAGTCTGTGGTTATTTATTTTTAAAAAAAGTATTTTGAGGACCATTGTATTTGCACCATTTCTGATTATTATACTACATGAGTCTTAGAACCTTCATCTACCTTCACCGGAATAGCGTCAGCCTTAGCGATATTACAGAATATCGCTTACATTGCTCGTTCAGATATCCATCACTCCATGCCAAAAGTTTACGATGCATGACAGTTCAAAAGTAGAGAAGCCCACTTAGAAAGTGGATCAATTAATGTATAAAGTATCAGATATCAGGAGAGATTTTGAACGCATACGAAGTCGAACTATTTACGGGCTTCGACATTCAAAAATGACATGGCTTATTTTTAAATATGGCTATGGGCTGAAATGTTCACGAACTCCGTCAGCATAACGCGGTGGTTTGTTAAAAAAGTTGCATAGCCTTTATTAAAAGATCCAGGCGTTTCCTGGAGGTCCTCTTGCATTTCTGCCTTTAAATAGATATTTCTAGACAATCCTATCTATAATCTGGAAAATCCACAAATAGCTATTGCTGAAAATTGACCACAAAAATTCCATCATTAAGGAGAAAGTTTCTTGTATAGCTACTTTACTAACTTTATATATACAAAATACATTTTTTTTTAATTTGCTAAAATAATAAATATAATACAATTAGTATTTATATAAAATATTTATTAAAAACTTTTTCAAAATATTAAAATTAATTTTTCCTCGGAATACTTTTATTTTTTCCCACAAATTTTGCATTATTCTTGAAAAATAATAAATATATCATTGTAAAAGTATTCCGTTTATCAAATTCATCAAACTTTTCCATGTGAATTTTTTATGATTCACTTCTTTTACTAATGAAAATTATAAACTATTCGCAAATTGTCGAGCAAAATACATAACAAAAGACTAATACTATAATAATGACGCAAATTTCATTTCATTTCTTGACAATATTTAAAAATACTTTTTAAAATTTTCGAAAATTGTTGAGCAAAAAATAAATTTTATAAAAAAATTGAGATCAAATCGTAAATTGAGGGGTACTCGCTTAATCAAGAAACGAATAATGGGTATAAATCCGAATATAAACAGACAAAAGGGATTTGAAATTACTTTTCTTTCATAAGAAATGTCAAAAAATGTCAAGGAAAAGGTTGAAAAAAAAAGGAAAACGCGAGGAAGACAAACGCCTAAGCGATAAACACTAACATATTTTCTAAACAAACGATACAAATAAATATATAAATATATAATATATACAAATAAAAATATTTTCACCGAAATTCACATTGACCAACTGATTAATTTTTTTACATTTTATTGATAATTTGAATGATAACTTGATAATTTGATTAGCAGAAATAACTGGAACTATTTGATGATGCATAAGGATCATTTAATGTTGAAGAATAAGAAGGATATGAAGGGATTGTAGATTGTCCATACACGATATTAGAATTGTACTGTTGTGTAGGTACCATATAGCCATTTGTTGGATATCTGCAAGGGTTTTTTTGTAATGAAAATAGTCATGAAAATTGTCAGGCTGATGCGAAATGAACTATGTTGTTTTTAGTGTAAATCTAGTCTACTAAATTACTCGATTTGATAGCCTTTCATAAATAAACTTGGCACAAGAAGATAAGGTGAAATAAAAATCTAAAAAAAGATGTAAGTTGTCAACCATTAAACAAAATGTGATGAATATGCTTAAATTTTTAGTTAGATAGGAGATAAATTGGCTCAATTCTAAGCCTAATAAAACAATAAATCGGAAATTTTCCCCATAAACTAATCAATTTCTATTCCTATTAACGTTTTTCTAACTCTACTGATTATCTTTACGGACAATTCTACAGATGGAAATTCTTTAATTAAAGAGCAACTTCAAGAGGGGAAAGTTGAAGAGGGTTTCGAGCTTCATCCAAATAAAGCCAGGTTCTTCTATTATGAGATCAAAATTCTATTACCCTTCCTTCATCATATTAATCATGAGCTAAACCTAAATAGTATGAAAAAAATTAAAAAAACAAACAGTGGCATATTTTGAGCCATTGCTTGCATTCCCATAGGATATGCGTAATTAGGCTGACGATTCCTGAAATCAAATGATAAATATCTTTAAAATATTCGGAGAATTTTCAGCTAATTTTAATTAACTGAATTTTAATTAACTGAAATTGAATGTTTAATATAATTATTTAATAGAAAATATAACGGAAAATATAAAAATTATTAAAAAAATTATGTATTAAATTGAAGGACGTCGAAGCGACCATGTTGCATAACGGAAAGAACTGTTCAGTTGTCGAAAAAGTTATTAAAATATACCTACTTATCAGAGGGTTATTGGGCATTTCAGCTGTACAATAGTGGAAGATGTAGAGGATTTTTTGATAAGCTTATCAATGATCCGTTATTTACCATCCTGAGATCACAACTAATTCTTTTCAAGACGAATGGTCAAAACTAGCTGCGATTCAGAAGTAGTAATAAAATCTATGAAGAACATTATGTCCAAGCTGAATTCTTCAGATATTGCTCAACATCTATCGCCATTCCCTTTTAGATAATATATTCGCAGATACGGAAAAAAGAAGATGCACCATATTCCTTGACAATGATGATAAAATGGAATATCGAGGAATTAGCCTACAGTAACTCTGGGAAGCATGCGCTCTAAGAAAACTCGACTTAAACATGGCGCGGTAGCGAGATAATCAGGCCAAGAACGATATTGAAAACTCAAATTTCTACAATCCATTGCTCACATCTTTTATTGACTACAGCGCCTTCGATTTAAATGTGTAAAACTTGGCTCTCTGAAGGGTTTGTACGACCGTTTTCAAAAAATCATGATTTATTAAGGCATATTACCAATATCAACACAAATTCGTAGGTATGGGAAGCTGGCACATCGAAATATAAATAGGTCAATCTTGTATTCTCTAGTGCCCTATAATTTTTAAATATAAGATGGACTGAATTACGAGCAGTGTTAAAAGAGGAAAATTATAAGGTGGAAGGTGCAGTTCAGAAATATAGCAGTACATAGCAATATGCAGTTTCACGGTTCTTATATAAGATGATAAGATGGCCTTTTTTGCTGATGATAGGTATCAGACCAAATGTCGGTAACTGTAATGGAATTCGCGTTTAGGACCGAAATACGTATTAATATAATACGACAACAAAACGCTAATAAAATACCTTTTCTTAATCTAATAACCTAATAATAACTTTATATTCGCCATCAGATGAAGCAATGCCAGTTTTTATATGAAATGGAAACAACATAGAAACAGAAATCCTATCTAGAAACAGAAATCCTATCTAGGGCAAAAAAATCCTGTTATATGACGGAGAAAAAACCTCGCTTGAATATCGTCTGAATCCGGACTGAAACAGATTCCGAGCGACGGCGTTATGAAGGCAAAAAAGAGTGGTTTCTATCAATTTCAGATATAAGTTTAGACCGATATGTTCGGAAAAATCTCATTATTATAGGGAGAGAAGCCAACCTACAAAGATGTTGAGTGTTTTTAGGACTTTAGGAATCACTATTAAATAGATTAAATAATATAATTAATCGAATAATTCAAAAAGAAAATTCTCATTTAAACTATGAGAACTATGATTATAAATATGGAATGATAAAAAGTGATAAATATTAAAGAACCCCGGATGTTGTTCGGATGTAGAATGCATTGATTCAAATATTTGACCACTCTGATACATCATTGGTGACATTTGACTAGAAGCACAAGCTAAAATAAATGACCTAAATATAAATTTAAATTTGTAATAAATATAAATTTAAAAAAATAATAAATATATTTATAATGAACAAGAAATAAGCAACAATTTATGATGAACTCACGATATCGAAAACGAATTGCTTTATTGACATATTGTGAAGAATCATGGAGCCTTCCTTGCATCGCATAGTTGGCTGATGGTTGTGCAGCATATGATTGTGCTTTATTCAAATGAGCCACGGACATTGCGTTATTCGATAACATAGAATTAGTTGCTTCCGGATAAGTTGCATTATAATTCTGTGAGATCTTCATCATCGATACAGGGCTATTATTGTGGGATTCAGTACAAACCTATAAAGATTGATTGGTATTCAGCGAATGAAAAGTACGACTCAACTACTGCGCTTCAAATTTTTAGGATTAAAGCAAAAGCCTGCGATCACTTTATTAAAAAATTTTATGAAGAAAACTAAAGCGATGAGTAAGGCATGACTATTGTATTTTGAGATACCTTTTAGCACCTTAGGATCTCACGAAATTAAATAAAACTAGAAATAACGAATTCACCTGATTTGGAGTTGAATAAGGAGCTATACTATTCTGAATCAAAGAGGATGAAGGATTCATTTGAGGATAACAACAATTAACTGCAGAAGATGAAGGAGTGCTACAACTCAACGGAATATTGCTTGGATTATAAACAAACATATTTCCTTCTTGTGAATTCCCTGCAAAATTAACTTTAATTGTTTAAATAAAAAAGTAGTTGAAATCGAATTTATTTTATTAAACACCAGTTTAACAATTTAATATATTACAGAAAAATCTAATGTATTTGATAATTTTTTATACGATTTTTTCTATTCTAAAATTATTTCATTAATTAGGATTTTTCCTAAAATCCTCAAGAAAAATCTATTCAACTTCATCAAGTACATATGAAATAAAAAAAGAGTACCATGATTTTGTAAGGGATGAGTTTTCATTTGTCCATTACAGGCTATATTATTACCAACAGATGAGGATGGTACGGAACATGTGCTACCATTCGAAGCAAGGGAACTATGAGATGGTGGTGTCACCACTTGACTCTAAATTATTCATAAAAATTGTATTTGACAAGTTAGTCTCAATAGTGTTTACAAATATCATGACAAAGCACTTAAATGCTTTGTTTGAGTAGTCTAACCAATAATGATGAGAATTGTTATAAGTCTTAATATTTGCAAATATCATGATCTACTATCAAGCACTTAAATGCTTTTTTGAACAAGAAATGAGATGAGATTTATATGATAACAACTGCGATATCAGCGAAAAAGGAAAAAAAAAGCGCACAGCTATAATTGCTCGTAAAAAATTAATAGGCAAACATATACTCATAATCAAGTTAAAATAACCATAATATACCAGTAAATAAAAAGAATGTTATTGTTATTGGAACTGAAAACGATAAAAATATATACCGGAACAGAATTAGCTCCCATTTGATGGGCCATAGGAGAGATTTTAGAGATGTCCGTAATTTCCGGATCACTAGAAGTCGATGGCTGCTCTATCTCATTTTGATTAGTTAGAACGCCATCTAAACATCCATCACCAAGATCGCTTAATGGATTACCCTAAAAGAAAAAAAAATAATTTTTGTAAAAATATTCATACGTCATATTGTATCTTGAAAAACTATTTTCTGTTTCTTCTCCTAAAAGCAGTCCATTCTTGTTTGGCCAACTTTACTACTATTTTTCTGTCAAACCTGTTTGGTCATAGAGGAATACATGTCGGAATACATCCTCAAAACTCAAAAAACAGGAATCAGACCACAGTTTAATGCTTGACCACAGTTCAAAGTGGCATAACTCGATGGAATGTTCATAAGATCATGGAAAAAACACATTTTCAAAACATATCTCACAAGAAAGACTGGTCTTCCTTCCAAACTTATAAAAAAATGATTACTGGGCTAAACTGGTCCATTAAATTTATCATGTGAGAATCGGTTAACTCGGGTAAATTTGATGAACTGTTCATTCCATCTGAACTTAAAGATTGGCAACATCCATTTGATATTTTCGGTGGTGAAGGTTGTTGCATTGGTAAATTTTCATAGTTCGTATATTTTTCTTGAATTGTTGTAGAGATCGATGAAAAATTTGCATTTTCATGAAAACCGTTCGGTAATTGCTGAAAACCATTTTGCATTGACGATTGATGATTAACTTGTGCGTTCACCTGCAAACGAATAAAATTAATGGAAAAATGTGGCTTATATAGCAAAATAAGTGGAAAACTCAAATTTTTAATGTTACGAATTTTGGTGATCCGAGGACCCAACGGTAACTTTTATCAAATGGGTAGAATGGATCAGTGGGTTGTTCAATTCGAAGCGCCGATGGTGAGATTCTGCTCTCCGCAGGAGTAAACTTGTCCAAAAATACGGGTAATGCTGGCGATTCACCTATATTTCTATCGCCAAGGAATTCCTCATATATTTGTCTAGTGCGACAAGCCAGCGCAGCTAGTTTAACCAGTAATGAGGACTCTTAAAAAAAAATTTCTATCATTTGATTCCTCTGGTGAAATTTGCCTGATTCGAAAAACCAGTGGAGCGAACCTAACATTGGGATTGGTGAATACTTTAAGAAAAAACCTTTGTTTTTTTCATATTCTTGGAGAATAATTGTAAAAGACGTTATTTTTAAAGCACTATAAAATCACTGAATCACCAAGAAATATTCGTAAATTATTTGCTCGTTAATGCTATTTGCCTTTAATTTCGTTTCTATGGAAGCTTATTTTAAAAATAAATAATCCCAACTATTTAATTCGCACGACGGTTACTTTACTAATAAGGCGACAATATTCAACTTAAATCCATCGTAAATGGATTTAAAATAAGGAGGAAAGAATAAATTTTTTAAATATTGCTCAAAATACATTCTTATCACTTCTCATATATCTGATAGTTGATAAAATTTTCATTTAAGAATTCCTCACATTTTTGCCTAGTTTGACAGGTTGCAATGGTTATTAGAATGGTACCTTAAAGTGTCTCTTAGCCCGACAATTTTTTTAGATGTATTGGTGATTTCATAGTATTATTTGCTTATTTTGGCGATAAGCTTGCCATTAAGAAACAATAACCGAATGGCTTAAATTTAGTTCATGCAACAGTCTCGTTCGTCTATTCCATCCCTAATATACGAATTGAGATGATAAATAAATTTTATTGAAGATATTGCTGGCATATTATTTGTAATTTTTATGAAAACAATGCGATTAAACTATTTCGCCTTAAGCATAGCTAATTAAACTGATGTTTTGAATAACATTCATTATTTGAAATTCGATTTCTTCCGTAAATAATGTGCTTGTTTACTTAAAACAATTAAATTTATAAAGCATTCTTGGAAATAAGATGGGAAACTATCGCAAACAACATAATAAATATAAAAAGCATGTCATGCAGTTAGGCATGTCGATGATAAGCGTAGAAAAAAACTCTAAACTCTATTGATAATCAAAAAATGATCACAAATTTTATTCGTTGGCTTCTGTCGAACCAAAAAAATTACGCCCAGAGAATCGCTAGAGAAGTACGAGTGGATCGCCAGCATTATTTTTGAAAAGAAGATTCATTCTCAACAGGGAGTAGAACCCAAGCATCGATGCCTCGAAATGAAGGCGACAACTCACTGAGCTATTTTACTCGTATTGAAGTAATAACAAGTAATACAGTTTTCTGCTAAATAGTAAGAGAATTTGAAATAAAACGTGGAATAATGTGGAATAATGATTGGCCTTTATACGCGAATGGAAATATTATTTTCTACTGATCTACCAAGTTACATAATTTTGATATGATTAAATGTTTATAAATTTTGCTATTATTGACTAAAACATATTTATTGAAGAATTGAAATCGAATGTCCAGAAAAAAGGAACAAACCTCCAAATACTGAGGAATAGTAGGAATTTGAGGAGTCAATGAGCTTTGAGGATATCGAATAATATGCTGTTGAGGTGGAAGCATATCAACATTTTTTGCCATTTTTAAGTTTTGCGATGGCTCATAAACATGATTTGAATGATCCTCCACGCTTGAACTTGGCCCCATTATATTACCACACATCATTGTTGGGTTGTTTGACGTGATAGTCCAGTTGGTACGATCGTAATGACGTTTGCGAGTCTACAGTAACGAGAATGATGATAAGAATATATAAGAATAAGAATATAATAATTAAAACTGTTTACTGATAAGAATAATAATAAAATTAGCTAAATATTATAAAGCAAAAAAAACTATGCATTTGGTGAAAGTAAGTATTGGTCAACAGATGTTACGGTCATTTTACAATCGACCTCTTTTAATGATGACAGATGGTTAATTACTATTCAAAAGTTCAACTGATCTGTTTCAGGTATTATCGGCATTCAATTTCAGGGCAATGATATATACTTCAACTATAATTACTTGAGCACGTGGAGGTGCAGGAAGTTGAGTATTGGGCAACGATTGTGCGTCCATGCCAGGAAAAAGATTAGCTCGTGGATGTAAGAAACAATTATATGGAGAAGGAGTAATTAGCTGAGGCTGGATCGGTTGTGTCATCGAGTTACAGTTGTTGTCACGATTCTTGGCCTGTTGCTCACTGTATTGTTTCATTGCGAGAGACATATATCTGAAAGAAATGTCAAGTGCATATGCAAACTATTCAATAATCCGAACATGGGTCAATTGCAGAATAGAAAAATCTCTCGCACACGAGTGAATTTTCTTCTAACTATAACCAAATTTATGAAATTCATGACCAAATTCATGGGATACCTCTTGCGATACTTCTCCATTTCTTCACGTTCATTCTCGATTAACGTAGGTCGTACAGCGGCTTGCCGTTGTTTAGCCGTTTCACCAAGCGTTTTCGCCTTTTCATATGATCCAAAAAATCGAGCCCGTAACTTTTTCGACGACGCACTCAATGCACCAAATCCCTCTATCGTGCAAGCATTATATCCAGCATCGGGTTGTCCTCCTTGATCCGGTGTCATCGAGGATATATTCGGACTGCAAACATTTTTAAACAAAATAATACGATAAACAATTTGATAAATCCTTTCTTCTGGCTTAAACATTATGAAAAATGCGATTTTTATTATAAAACTACTAATTATCCCCTTTCCAAATAAAATCAAAATGTAAAGGGTTAAAAGATCACAAATGAAGGTCAACGCTCATCTTCATTAGCCAATAAATAAGCGAAACATCTGGTGTAAATATAAGTTAATACATAAAAATATATATGCTAATTATAGAAAAATATTGAAAAATAAATAAGTATATTATGCGATCGGAATTAAGAAAAGTAAAGGCAAATGAACTGATAAAATATAATAAACCTGAAGATTTATGATTTTTATTGAAATTTTAATGATATGGCACATGCACATAATTTAACGAAATATTTATTATACGTATATAAATAAATATTTATATATAAATAAATATATAAATAGATATATATAAATAAATATTTTTTAGATATTTAGAAAGAAATTTAAACAGTGGAAATAAATTTTGCAGAGAAGGCTTTTCGATAAAATATTTTTTAAGAAGAAAGCGGACAAAAACTATTACCACTGAATGATATTAGAAAACAAATATAGAAACCTAACTAGTTTTAGAGGCACGATCATGGATTGTTTAAATCGTAAAAAAAAGATTTATACGTTATAGTTTCTTAGAAAATTTAAGAGAAATATAAATTACAATATGCAATTTTAGATAAGAGTAAAAGAGTAAACTAAGGAAAATGAGATGAAAAGACAAACAAATTTCGAAGGAAATAAGGGAGGATGAGGTGAACTGACAAGCAAATTTAGAACGAGATTAATGAATATGAGCTGAACAAATAACTCAAAAAACAATAATATCCATAAAAATTAAGAAAAACCACCAAAATCAATTACAGCGATACTTTTTTGGAAAGATTCACCTGCGATCAAATCCTCCTCTTCTTCCTCAAAACTCTCAGTGGTACTGTGAATACGAAAAAATGGTTAAATGCGAAGTCCCTTATATGTTATTGTCATTAATACTGTCTTCCCTTATATTCCAAAAGGATTTTCAAAATTTGTAAATTCAAAGCAAATATAAAATATATTTAAATAAATATGCGATAGCTATTCAAGTCAGTGGTCAGTGGCTGAGATTCTAATTCTTAATTCTTAATAAATTCCTATAAAGCAAAAAAAAGATTAAAAATGCAAATTTTTTATTTTTCAGCTGATAATTTATTTTCCAGAAAAAAAAAAACAACGGACATTCAACGAATATGAATTCAATTTAACAACAGATTATTAGCTATTAATAAAAAGTACCAATTATCTGGTGCCCGAGTTGAAATGTTCGGCTTCGATTCGACAGTGGTCGCAACGAGATTCATTTAGGTTATAATATGAAGCAAAACCTGCTGCGTTTGCTTGAAGCAGCAGGAAACTTCAGCTCTAAAAAGTCCAGTACGGTCCCCTATTCGATATATTATCGGATACCCGAATTGCGAGATTTTTTCGCCTGAAATGAAATTTTATTATCGAAGAATTATTGCGAACTCGAACATTCGTCAAGCGCTTTGAATTAGACAAATTTATGCGACAATTAATTCATTAAAAGTTCAGGAAAAATGGAGGAAATATGCGAATATCCACTCAGTGATGCAATATTCTACGACGATCTCCCGAAGACGCACTGATTATAACTCAAATTTTGCGAATTCCGAATTTACGAACCTGATTTACGGGTCTATACGGGTGCTACGTGTTCTGCATTTCTACTCAAAAAATAAGTATTGTACAACATCACTTCTCCCTCCTCCGCCCCCCCCCCTCCCCCTCTCCCCCTCTCCCGCAGATATTATGCTCAAATTTTTCAGATTCCAATTTTTTTTACTCTTTCATTTCAACGTAAATTTCCTCGGTTATTAAAAACATTAAGAGACCAACCAAAAATGTGAAAAATATTCCAAATATTCATTCAGTAAAGTGTGAAAAATGGTTTAAATTTCTGAGGTTGATTCTTTAAATAACGATCTGGTAGGATGAACTGAAATACTATCCGCTAAGATAAAATAGTTCACAGAACCATAGAGTCACCTGAAGATAGATAATTCTTAGTTCTTAGCAACCATTCCGAATCTCACTTTCAATGACAAAACTTTACGACTGCCATGGTAGGTACGGTTATTGGGATTAGAACTTATCATACACATGCCTCAAGGCTGATTGCAAATACCATTGCGGAAAGAATTTTTTCCAATCTTTCGCAAATTTACCAATCAATCTTATCTAACACAAATTAGACGATCATCAAGTAAAATCTCGTGAGGCCAAAATCAAACAAACAAAAATCTAAATCCAAATGATGCAAGAATTTTTATTAAAATCGATTCCATTTTGCTTATCATTATCATTAAAAAAATATTTCTCTTATTTCTCAAATAATGACAAATAAAAAATAATTTCTAAACCTAAATCAAATCAATTTAAACAATCTGATAATTCGAAAATATAATAGTAATTCTATTTTAAACTTGAATTCCTCATTTGCTAATTGAACTACTGATTTTGCGTGACTTTATCTTAATTGCAATAGGTCAATAGCGAATAGCTTATAACGTCCTTGCTTAGATCTAATCGCTCTATTGGCTATTAAGATGAAATAATTATATGCATATTAAAATAAGACATTTTAACTAGAAAAGCATTTGGCGAAAAAGATACGGGTGGAAGCACTATTTGAATTTTTTCAACGATAGTTCACCAATTCCAAAAATAGAAATGGAACCATAATGTTTGAAATGACACTCTAAACAGTATCGGCGATTTCAAAATAAATTGGTGAATAAAAAGAAAGCTGTAGAAAAAATATTGAAAAATAATATATAAAATGAAGAATAATAATAATAGATAAAATCGTTAAATAATAATAAAAAGAATTGTTTTAGAAATAAAAAAAAGGAAGAAACATAGGAAAACCTTAAATTTATGGTTCCCTAAGGCAACGGTTTGGGTGGGCAAACGACAGTAAATTGTTCTATTTAACAAAATAATATCCACTCACTTGTTTTTTTTTTGATGAATATAAACTCCCCAGTAATAATTGGGAATAAAATGGTTCAGTGGCTTATTGCCGCTCTCATCTCGGATTGCCGTAATTCAATTCCCCGGAATTAGTTTATCTCTAAAAAATTCAAGTTATACTGATCATACATTTTATTATATTTCTATTGCCTCGCCAAGTTCCACTTCCTGACGAAATTTGATTGGTCCAATAAGCCAACGAATTAAACCTAATTAAAAGTGGTGTGCGCTCTTCAAAAAAAAATTTGCCTTGCATTCGAAATGCTTCGCCTCTTATAAGAATATTGCTTATAGCAAATTATTACTAGATCGATGCGATATTAGCAAACAACAATCGGCATGATGCATTTAACTAAATAGGCGAATAAGACATTTGGTGAAGAAGAAGTACGCTTGTTCGCTTCATTCAGCTTGCAAAAACTAAGTAAGTAAGTAAGTAAGCTTCTCTCATCAGATTTTCTTCGTTTCTAATTTTCACCAAAACAAGAATCGATTTGATAATTTAATAATTCTTTAGAATAGCATGTTCATTTGCCGAGAATCATATAATAATATCATTCCGCTTGGAAGACGATCAAATGAACAAACGTGACGAAGCATTTTCTATAAATAATTCGGCGTTTTTCCTCCTCATTAAAAAATCGCTATAAATTCGAAAATATTTTGGAAGAATCAAATTATCGAATAATATGAAAATTGATAAAATAATTTCTACTAAAGCAAATAATCATCTAATAATTATTGATAAGCGATAAAGCGAAATATATAAAACATATTTTGGCTATTATCAGTATCAATTCGTCTCCTTTTATAAGAATAAAATCATTATCAAATTTCCATTAAATCTGAAGAGCCAAGGAACACGCTCTCTCCCTATACTCCATGCGATTCTCTGACGAAGGAAGTTCTCATTCCTTGCCATAGGAGCCAATTAAACCAGAAATTTTAGAAGATCAATAGTTAAATATAATCTTCTTATCGTCGCCATTATTGTTATTATTCATCATCAATATTATCACTATTGTTTTCTAGTATTCCTTTATTGTTTCATTCAAAATTTTAGTTATATTTATTATTTGTCGTTAACCATGATTATTATTATCATCAATTCTTGTTATTATCAGTTATCATCATTATTATCATTAAATATTGTTATCAATTATCATTTAACTATTATTACTATTATTATATAACTGTTTATTATTATAAAAAATCTGATGGATTATAAACAAAAAAATAGTATAGAATTAAAACAATAAATAATTAAGAATGTAAATAGTTGACGAATGAATTGCAATAGAAACAACATAAATTATCATTTAATTGATGTGTATACATTTCTGAACCATTCAATTTGACGGATTGAATAGTTAACTTTGTAGCAAAATTTTATCAGTTTATAGTGCACAATGAAAATAGCAAACCCACTACCAATGAAGAATTTCATTAATTCAATTAATTTAGATTTGAACAAAATAACGAAACAAAACGAAAAATTGCATCACATCGTATTTATAAATCATTCATTTGTTTATCGCATTATTAGTAGTTTCAATTCAATTGGGTTATCAATAGTTCCTTATCAGCTCCAAGAAACACTAAATGATAATATAAAACCAAAATAGTGATCAATGAAAATCGAGAAATATTAGAGCGAAATTGATAAAAATATCGGATAACAATAAAATTTTAGTTAGCGTATTTCAAATAAATTAATTTATAAAATATTATCATAGATAAAAATCTTAAAATCGTCGAAATTCTTTCACTAATTTATATTTTACATTTTCACATTATATTGATTTAAATTGATTTGATAATTCTCGAGTTTTTTATCAAAGCGACCAAATGCGACACTAATTTTGCAAGTAAAATTGCTAAATACGATGTGTTAATTAATTTTTTCTAAATATCTAAAAAAATTTGTAATATTATATTTGCAATCGATTCGCAACCAGTTTTACTTAATAAATAAATATTAATAAATATTAATATTT